AATCCATCTGTTGCCTCCTATATGTCCCAGTGCAATACGACTTCGCTACAACAGAAAACAGTGTCATGAGTATCATTTCAATGTGCAGTTTTAGGTTGGTTTTTAGTCCTAATTACCAACGTCATTGCAATTTTCTTCTATTCTGGTGTTAGGTCTTTGATAGCTGCATTCAACTGTACCACTTTATGGCTGTACGGTTTGTATTCAGACTGTGGCACCTATAACTTTAAGGCATTTCTCTCTAACATCCTAGAGTTTAGGCTCGGCTTTAATTTTTTTTGCTGTCCCGTACACCCAAGACAGTGTCTCTTAGGTCATTTTGTACATCTGCCGTTAACATTAGTAGAAGTGCTAAAAATTCATTCAGAGGAAGTTCATCAGAACTCTGCATAGGGCGGGTGCCTGACCTGCATCTCACGCTCTGAAAAGACCTGATGAAAGTCTGGTTTGTGCACTGCCAAACTGTAGTAGATACCAAGGGTAACGTGGGTACCAAAAAGTGCAGTAGATGCTGGTTCACAAAATGCAATTTAGAGCAATCTCAGTGCTGCGTAGGCATCCGTGGCTGTGCAGTGTACACCTCTCAAGAGATAAGCTTGCTGAAGTTTTCCCAGCGTAGTTCATTGGAAGGCGCTAGGTGGCTTTTGATTTAGGGTATTCTTTTGAGCTGTGGAGATGACAGTCTCATGTGGATAATCTGCTGCTCCTGGCTGTGTTCAGTTTCTGTTATCAATAGGATGACCGAGGAACAAAGCCACATGCTCTGGCTTCCCTGCAGAATCCCCTGGTGCTCAGTTATGATGCCCGGCTTTTGGGTAGAATCTATTTTTAACAAAAGTTACTCTAACCCAAACAATCTCAAAGTTAAAGAGGGATAGAAATTGCATGTTTGAACAGCAAAACTAATATATTACATATTCTTGGTCAATAATAGTGGAGACCAGATGCATTAGTCCATTTTAAATTGAACTGTTGGATTTGAATGCAGAGTTCAGCTGTATGCGTGAGGATGCATGCAAGGAGGATAAATATCCTCCCTGTCCAGATGGCTTGCAGAAGCTTTTATTACTTTTTATGTGGCCTGTAGAAGAGCTGGGATACAGTGAGGCTGTAGATGATTCACAGATGCTAACATCTGTACAGGGAACTCTCTTTCTTTATTAAAATTTTGCAGGTGAAATTGCTCATTCTGATCCCATGGAGGCTTAATTCTGCTCCCATCGGGGGTTCACGCGCACCACTGTGTGCAGGACCAGGCAGACCTGGTTTCTGTCTCGGCCACGTGCATTGCAGCATCAAAAAGATTCAGGGATGGGCAAAATAATTCTGCTTATGTTTGTTCAAGTTTATTGTACTGTTTGGGAAAGTCACTTGGCCAAATCTGTCTGCTTGTATCCAAATCAGGTTCAGAGAAGAGGAATTCATGCTAAGGGAAAAACAAAAGACAGAACCTGGCATTAAATAATTGGAAAGTACAGAAAATAACTGGATCTCTGATTTTTTTTTCAGAATATTGCAACATTTCCACACTACTGCTGAAGATTATACTGTCATCTTCACTTCTGGATGCACAGCTGCACTTAAACTGGTAGCAGAAGCATTCCCTTGGATACCTGAAGGCACAAAGCAGCCCAGCAGTCGGTTTTGTTACCTAACTGACAGCCACACATCTGTTGTGGGTATGAGGGGGATAACTGCCTCAATGAATGTGTTATCTGTTCCAGTAAAACCAAAAGAAATGTTGTTATCAGAGAAAAACACGTTACCACCTGAAGAACAAAACTGCACGACACCTCATCTTTTCTCTTATCCAGCTCAGAGCAATTTTTCTGGTATCAAATATCCCCTTTCATGGATACAGGACATAAAATCTGGAAAACTCTGCCCTACAGAAATACCAGGGAAGTGGTTTGTTCTACTGGATGCAGCTTCTTATGTAAGCACTTCTCCGCTAGACCTAACAGTTCACCAAGCTGATTTCATCCCCATTTCCTTCTATAAAATCTTTGGATTCCCTACTGGTTTGGGAGCATTACTGGTAAGCAACCGAATTGCCCCCCTCTTGAGGAAAAGCTACTTTGGAGGTGGAACTGCAGCTGCCTACCTTGCAGCAGAGGACTTTTACTTCCCCCGAAAATCTATAGCTGAAAGGTAAGCCTTTGTTTAACCAAACAGGTGGGGGTTTTGCTGATCCTGTTTCCTTGAGACAAATGTCTTTGCTTTGGAGCATGCACTGGGCTGTGACACATATGCTTGTTTATGTACTTGGCGAGGTGTTTCATATCTGCTTTCTTCTTAATGCTTTGTTTTTCTGTATCTTCTGAACGACCCTGCTTCCTTCCCTGATCTAGGTTGTCACAACTGATAAAAATATAAGGGTTCATTCGGTGACGTGAAGGTCAGTCCCTATGTTTTTATATTAACATTTAAGGTGCCTCCCTGGAACACTGTTTTGTTTTTGAATCTCTGCACACAGAGCAGTTAGGCCAGGGCTGATCACACACTGGAATGAGCCTTAGCAAAACTGAAAAGTGAGATCTGGGTGCTCTTCCTTTTGCCCTCTACAGATGCTGTGTCCCAAGAGTGCATGCAGCAAGAGAAATTACATGGGACAAGTACTGCTGGTGAAGCTCTCCAGCAGAGTATGGAGGGTACTTGAAAGAGGTCTCACAGTGCATAAGGAAATGCAGGGCTGTGGATAAGTTTTCCCATTGCCTTAATATATTGGACTGTCACTCTTAATAGTGCATGGTCACTCTCTCCCCCTCACAGCAGCAGCAGTTTGTGTAAAGACACTCGGGGGACTTTGTTCCTGTCTCACATGCAGCACGGGTGCGCGGGGGGAAACAGAAGGTCGGCATTTAATATGAAGCAACAGCCCGAGGGGTGACTGGAGGTGATGAGGGGAACTACTTAATAAAGTCAGTCAAGCCCTGCATTTGTGTATGGATGTAACTAGCTCAGTCGATGTATGTTGAGCAGCACCAAGGCCTGGACCTCCTGTGATCTCTATGTCCTTTCGGGGTATGGTATGGCCATGCTTCGTGTGTGTGTATGTGTGTGTTTGTGCCTCTTGTATTTTTATTTTCCTGCTGCTGCCAGGTGGCTTGAGCTCTACACTGGAAAATGCAGTGAGGCCATAGCCTGGCTGCCATGTAGGAGAAGGACACGAAGTGTTTCTGACACCGAAATCTGTTTGAGGAACATCCGGTTAATCTTTTCATTTAGAAATAAGACCAGCCTCAAAACATTCCTGAGCTTTGTTTCTGGATTCTCAAACCGACAAGGTTTTGAAGTGCAACCGAGGCACTCGCCACAAGTCAGGATGAAAGGGCATAGAAATAACAGGACCCTAGGATGTCCTTGTGTCACCTGCAAGCTGAGGAGCAAACCTACTTTAACTTGGCCTCTTGCCTCCAACGTTTGAGGAGTTCTTATAGAAATAATTGACACACAGCTCCTGAGGTTGCAGATAGCAGATACAAACACCTGAAATACATATTACATCTCAATATCAGATCTCTCTTTCAGAGGTTGACTAATTACAAATCCGTCAGGCATTTGAGGCTTCCACTGCTTTCAACATGGGTTTTGGTGTTGCTGGATGAGAAGAGGGCCCTGCTTTCACTTATTTCCATTACACACTTATAAACAAGGGAATTTGATTGGATTCCTCAGGCTAGATGCAGAACACCTGATCTCAGTGTGGGGGAGCAAAACTCAAGTAGCCAAGTCTCACAGCTGGATGTGAGGCTGGCTCCTGTTACACACCAAAGTGTCATGCAGGATTTGATTCTTGTATATGGATAAATATTTACATTTGTCTTCAAATGCTTTGTTGATTATTTGAAAGCCTAATATTTACAAGTTCATCTTTAGAACATTGCCGATGCTGTGTGTAATCCCTAATGATTTGAGGAGGCTGGAAATCCTGCTTGGAAAGGCTTGAAGTTTTCAAAGGTAGGTCAGGCATAAGGATAATCAGTTTCGTCCTTCAGCTACTTCATCATCTTCATCATACAGATTTTGTGGTGCTTTTTTTTTCTGTTTTTTGTTGTTGTTGTTGTTTTGTTTTGTTCTTTTCCCTTTCAGAGGCTGAGTTTTTGCTTTAAGGTGTTCTCCTCACAAAGCATCTAGAAAGAGAACTACTACATGTCAAATGAGATACTGGGTCATCATGTTCTCATGTCAGCAGTAGCTCTAGCCAGGTTTTATCCTTGCCAAAAGGCAGTATGGGATCTCCAATCTTGGAGGTGTCCAAATCCACCAGATCAAGGCCACCTGCTCCAGCTTGGGCAGGGGGTTGGATGGGGGCCACCTGGGGTTGCTTCCAAGCTCTGTGCTTCTGTGTCATTCCGAAGGGTCGGCCGTTCAAGCAAACTGGCTTGGTGGTTTTGCATTAGTACCGGGAGTGAGTGCAGTGAAATGTGTTTTATTCTGTGTGATAACTCATGAGGAACCTGGAGCTCTCCAAAATGCCGTTGGAAAGCCAGGTTGGAATACGCGCGTCTGGAAACCCTTGGCAGAAGCGTTCTTGTCCGCACACACAGCGCGCAGCGTGCGCAGGAAATGCCTTCCTGTAAGCCAAGGTGAACGTGGAGTGGAGATGTGTAATGAGGGTGTTCATTCGTTTTTCCTTCGCAGGACTGTCAAAATTGTTACCTTTCGTCTTAATGGACACAGCTTTTGTCGGGGTGACTTGTACCTTATCTTGTTGTTTTTGCTATAGAAATTACGCTACCACAGACTCTTTTAGATTCCTTCAATACGTTAAATCACTTCCAAGTTTTCTCATTTCATGACAGTAGCCAATCTCCCTATTGCTACTTTTAAGACCATCTTTATTATATTTTCATCCTTGTATCAAGCAGCTTGACAAATTATTATTATCATTCACAAATCTAGCCTCATTTTCCATGTTTTTTTTCTGTGCGGCATGAGATAATAAAATAATATGATTATGTGTAGCGAGGATGCAGCAATAAAATATTAATCATCTGCCCTATTTTTCTTATGTATCTGGGAGTGCAATTCAGAATCTGATCAGTCTAGAATTTATGACTAAGGGAAAAGAACCCATTATACGTAAATTGGAAATCTGCACTTTAATCTATGATTCTGCAATAGGCAGCTTGTTTCTGTGTTTTTACTGTCCAAAAGTATTTTCTAAGGCTTTAAAAATCTAGATAGCATGACTTTGTCCCTGCCTAGTTTTAGCAATTCTTGCCTCTACTGCTTGAATGATTAGACTGCAATGCCCAGCAATGCCCAGACAAAATCCTTAGGTTGGGTGACAACTCCAGGATCCCTTGGCAAAAAGCTAGTCTTTCTGGCTAAGTTTTCTCTTCAGCTTTATTGCATGCTTTCTGTCAGCACAGAAGGAAAGAGTTAGAGGACCCATGCAGTGGCAGATGCTGGTTAATTCCTGAGAAATGCTTCGTAGTGGTGCTGAGAAATGCCCTAAGGGCCGAGCTGCCTGCAGGAGTGCAGTCCTGTGCAGACGCTTGCGTTGAGGTCTAGCGTCTGGCCACTGAGCTCTCCATAGCTGTACAGACACGTCTGTGATTACTTCAATGTGCTAAGTGGGGCAAAATGTCAGCTCTTGACCAACACTTTTTGTTCAAAGTGTTGTGTTAATATGCCACCTTCCACTGCTTTGTGGCATTTGAAATGTAAAGATATCCAAACAGGACCCCTTGCAGGGGTGATTGCCAAGTCAACAAAATTCTCTAACAAACACGCTTTTAAGCAGAAGTGCTAAGTTTCAGATGATACACTTGGGAAGTGGTAGGGACCTTTACTTAATCCAACAGGCATTTGCATTATGAGACCACTTCTCCACTTGACAAACTCAGGGCCATTGACGGAGACTTCAGGTCAAAGCAGCAGCAAGTCAATGAGCTCGTCTCTCCTCCCTCTCTTCCCCTCCATTCACCCTGTCCCACGGAGATGACAGGATTTAAGCATCTGAGTGACATCTGAGTGCAGCCATGTAGGAGACGCACACAGCTTCTGTCCCTGCTTGAAGGACAGGTAAAGCACTCTGATTTCCAAAGCTATCATTCAATTAACTTTGACAACTGCCACATTCACTTTAAGACAAAAAATATGGAGAAAACAAGAAAAAAGGAAAAGGGAATTAATATTTTCTGAGTAAATGTAACAAGGTTCAAGTGACATATTGCACTTTCTCTTCTCAACATGAGGTGTAAATAGCTGCAGGAAGATTTTGTACAGTCTCTTTTTTTCATCTTAGAAAATCCATGGTGGCAGTTGACCTCTTGTGTACTTTCCTACCAGATCTCACTACAGCCAGCCAGCTTTTTGGGCATTTGATGCAGAGAAAGAAATCAATTTGTTTTTAAATCCCACCATAGCTGTGGATGGGTTTACAGGTGTCAGCATGCATTCTAATGCTCAGAGTTGTTATTATGTGCAATAGTGAAATTGTTTTATTGCCTGAACACTCAGCATAGTCAGAATAAGTACCGGTGCATTGAAACTGTAGAACAGCGAGATGAATTTAATCCTCTGGGGATTGCTTTTAGTCTTGATTCACCATGGGATTCATCCTGAATTGCTGAATCTGGGATAAACTGCAAGCAGTGCTTTACAAAAATGCTTGTAGAGTGCAAACAGTTACAGACAGGCAGCCCTGGCGTCTAAAGTGGCCTGCGACTATTGGGTTCAGACTGCAGTAGAGATTTTGGGAAGATTGGATCAGCTTCTGCTCTGCTTCCAAAGGACACACGCCCAAGCTACGCAGAGTCCCTAGGCACAGGAGGCAGATCCCCAGAGGAAGCGCTTGGCTGTTCCAGCAAGGAATAACGTGTGCCTTGCGGTTTAGTCTCCGGTGTTTCCTGCGGTGCGTTTGGGAAATCCGGTCTCAAAGTGAATAATGCGTAGGGCTCAGAGCTGCAGATCTGAGGGAAAAACAGAGAAGTTAGGCCTCACACAGGTTAATGCCTCAAGCCTTGGGGTCCATTGCAGCCCGTGGTCACAGTGTGCAGAGGGCCCCGTTGCTTCTAGCGAAATTGGTTCTGGTCCTGAATGCAGTGCAGCTCCAGCATCTCCGTGCAAGGCAGCAGCCTGACGTATGGAAGTGCATACGGGGCTGGAGGGGCACAGAGGGGCACAGAGGGACTGCTCAC